CCCATGTAGGCTGAGTTATTGGATTTTCTGTACAGTAGCAGCACAGGCAGCTTCTGATCTCTGAAGTTTATGGATGGGATTGGGGCAGGAAGCAAATAAGAAGTGCTCATAAAGTAAACTGAATTTCAGACTCTTGAATGTGTGCAAAGAAATTCTCCCATCACAAATTCAGCTTTTGTTAATGCCAGAATTCAGCTTTACTTGGTATTCTCTGAGGAAAGTGAACATTAGCTAGCTGAAGAGTCTGTGTAATTCTGTATCTCTTCCAGGGATGACAAGGATTTTTACAGCAGGTTAGCGTGTCCAGTGACCCATTAACAATGAGAAATAGGTATTTAATGTTGCCAGCTGCAACACTATTTATTACTTGCATTCAACTTCAGGCTTCACTGACTGCTCTAGAGACTGAAGATTTCTACCTCTTTCCCCGCAATAATTTCCCATTATGTTTGCTTAAAACCTGTATGAGTAGCAACATCTGCTTTTACTGACAGATCTAAAACAGCTCTCTAGTTTTAGAAAGTCTTAGAAACATCCTTACTTGTTTCACTGGATGGGCTTGGATCCGAGGAAAAGAAGAGGACATCAATCAGATCAGAGGCTGGACCACTGTGGTACTGCTTTAGTGCATTCAAAGCTCTGCCAAAGAAAAAAACAGGTTATAAGCACTCTCTGTGGATTCCTTCAAGAGATTCCCTGCACACGTCAGAGGCCAGAGCAATGTATCCTGGTGACAGAAGTTTGTGGGCACAACAGGCTGATTGTATCTAACTGCTGCATTCCTGACTCCTCACATCCCCTGTACCTGCCATACATTTCCCCTTTCTACTGTTGCTCTGGTTTGACATAGTTGGACCTTGTGATTTTTCAGCACATCAATTCAGCCAAGTGCCGAGATCAGTCTCAGAAGGGTTTTCCTACAATAAGCCCGGCAATTTTCAATTGCCCTCTGTGCTCCTGAGTGGTGACTCTAGGTGAGTTGCCCCCTCACAGCCCTTACTTTTTTATCCTGTTGTAGGTGATATCGTTGGCTAATTTCAGCAGGCGGTACAAGCTCTCATGATCCACACTCAGCATGCCATCTCGAGATTCCTCAAAGGCAACAGTCACTGCTTTGGAGGTGATACGTGTTACAATGCCAGTGGAAAGCAGATCGCCTTGGCTGACTGAATCGTAAAGGCCCACTATGTCACCTGCAAAGACAAATTACAAGAGAGCATGAAGTGTGGCAAATGTTTTGAAAAGAAGCTCTCTTGAGGAGACTAGCACAGTCCTATGAAGACAGTAGGCCCATCTGCACCAACCACAAGACTAGCTCCATGTTTCCTGCCATAAAGGAGAATGCAATAGAATCACAGAATGGCTTGTGTTGGGAGGGGCCTCAAGGATCCAACAGGGAGGGTTACCAATCATTGGATCAAGTATTAAATCAGGTTGCCAAGGAACCCATCCAACCTGGCCTTAAACAGTTCCAAGGATGGGGTATCCAAAACCTTTCTGGGCAAACTGCTCCAGCACCTCACCACTCTCAGTAAAAAACTTTCTCCTGACATCTAATCTAAATCTCCATTCCTTTAATTTAAAACCATTCCCCCTTATCTTATCAATATCTACCTTTGTAAAAAGTTGATTTCCCTCATTTTTATAAACTTCCTTTAAATACTGGAAGGCCACAGTGAGGTCTTCCTGCAGCCGCCTTTATTCCAGGCTGAACAAGCTTTGTTCCTTCAGCCTATCTGCATGAGAGAGGTGCTCCATACCTTTGATTACCTCCATGGCCCTCCTCTGGACCCTCTCCAACAGCTCCACATCCTTCCTGTGTTGGCGGCCCTAGATCTGGATGCAGTACTCCAGATGGGGCCTCACAAGAGCTGAGTGGAAGGGGACAATTACCTCCCTCTTCCTGCTTGCCATTCCTCTCTTAATGTAGCCCAGGATATACTTGGCCTTCTGGGCTGCAAGCATACACTGCTGGCTCACGTGAAACTTTCCATCAACCAGTACTACTAAATGCTTCTCAGCAGGGCTACTCTCAAGGTATTCTTCCCCCAGTTTGTACACATATCTGGGATTACCCTGACCCAAATGCAAAACCTTGCACTTAACTTTGTTGAACCTCATTAGGTTCACAAGGGCCCACCTTTTGAGTTTATCAAGGTCCCTCTGTACGGTCCCTTCCTTCTGCTGTATAAACTGCACCACTCAGCTTGGTGTCATCAGAAAACCTGCTGAGGGTGCACTCAATCTCATCATCTATATCACTGATAAACTCTTCTCTTTCCTGACAAAGCATGCAGCAAGAAGCAGTGAGAAGACAGTTACTAACCAGCTACCTTCAGACCCCTCCCCATATGGCTTGGGGTAGAGACCAGCAGTGCTCTCCACTGTGCTGCTCAGAAATGTAACATTTTTTCACACAAACCCTGGAGGGCCTGACTTCTCTAAGCTCTAAGACAAAACTTTTCACTTATTTTATCATTCAGTCATTCCCAAGGGGGCTGCACAACAACATGTGCCTCCCAGAGGACTGTTTTATGCCAGTCAGTAGAAGTAAGAAAGAAAAAGATTCTCAAAGGGCTCACAATAGCCATTCTGCTCTTCATACACATACATGAGATAGGATCAGTCAGATTATGCAGTTCAGTGGTGAAATGGAGATTTTGAGCAGGGTGTCTAGCAAGTGGACAATTTAGATGGGTCTCAGGCTCACTGAGGACTAAATTTCAGATTAGCAAACTAATGGAAGTTCTTAATTATATTCATCAGCTCCTGCATTAAAATGTTTGAGGAACAGTTTACTGCTACAGCAATGTTATTTCTCTGTGAAGAGCACTGATGGATGCTGCTTCTTAGACCTCAAGGCTGAGACCCAAGTCTGCAAGGAGTTCTTTTAATTTCACAGGTCAGCAGCTTGGAGATTTGGCTGGTAAAGAAGACATCAACAAACTGAATGGCAACCCACTTTGAAACTGTACCACAGATCAGAAACAGACCAGTTCCCCACCATGTATCTGCTTAGCAAGCTAATTGATTCAGCAAACAAGAGAAAGTAAATTATTAAATGAAACCAGCAAACTATCTGGTGTTGCCAGCCTTTCTCTTGAGGACCAGCTTTGGAGAGTGCAAAGCAATACCCTTGTTGCCTAAGGAAAAGGGAAAGAGTCTCTGCAAGAAAAAGAAGTGATTTCCATTGTCACTTGGAACTATTTCACAGTCAAACCCAAGTTATTCCAAGGGGTAAGCAGCTGACTATAGCTGGCAGTCTGGTTCCTCACCTACCTCAGATACCGGCAACCATTCAGGTCTGACATTTCTGGTTGTAATTTCAAGGAATAGATGGCAGAGGATGAGGGACAATTAGAAAGAGTGCTGGCTTGATGTGCTGGTGAGCTTGTGTTTTTCTACTGTCTCTATTTCCAACAGAAATCCAGGTATTAATACACATGGTGCATACTTCACCTCTTCTTGATAAAAAATAACAGTACAAGGAAGGGAGGAAATTGGCAGCTCAGGAAGGAGCTCATTTTCCATTTTGAAAATGAACTGCAAGGTAAGCTCCTTACCTACTCCAAGCATGAACACAGTGGCTTGTAGAAAGCATGCTAAGAAATCTTTAACGGTGGGAAACTATGGCTTTGTTTTTAAGGATTCTGAATGAGGAAAGCTTGCTTGTTACAATAGGCAGTATTTCCTGGTGCAATATCCATGTTAATAACAAGCTGAAAGAGAAAGACAACCTATTTCTCTACATTCACCCTGTAGGCACATTTTCTCACTTCCTCTTTTCCTCAATCACTCAGTCTTTACAAGCGTTGCATTAGAAATATGTTAGGCAGAGCACATCAGTCATCTCCTACTTTGCACAAATGGGACCATCACTTACCAGGCCCAAAACTGTTATAGGGCAGCTCGGTGTCTGAATAACATTTTCTAGGCTGAAATGTCACAAGCAGACGCCCGTAGAGGCCGGTTCTCTGGTTGGCAGCTTGAAGTTTTAGTAAGCAGACACCTCTGCGCTGCAGTTCCTTTAGGGAGATGTTTTCCTGCCATGCTCTGGAAAGCACAGACATGAAAACTATTTGCTAGAATGAAATAAACCCGATGCTTCAGAAGACAAAACAAAAAAAGACAAACCAGGAGGAGACAGAAAAGATGGATGATGGCAAAAGAGGTACTAGCTTGTTGAAGTGTTGATTTACATATCTTTTTGTAGTGATGTAATTGGATTGGATTCTATAGATTTCCATCTCTAACGTGACATATTTTGAGGAACGGGGAGAAGCCTACGTAGTATGGAGATATCAGTGTTTATTTATGTGTATTTCTTCTGTCTAGGTGCATAAAAGAAGACACTGCCCAGCTCACGAGTCAGCAGAGAATGATCTAAGCTTTCTCCTATCACACATAAGTTCTTAAATGGAAGGTTTGCTGTTTCTCACATTAAGATTTCTGCAAATCCCCAACCAATACCCCCAGAGGCACTACACAGAGAAGAGAGCGTTCTACATGGGACTGAGACACAAATTGCCATTGGCAGCTTTACAGCCTTTTGGCTCAGCATCAGAATACTAAGGTGGATTCTTTATTTTTTGATAGATTGACAGGGAGGAAGGGAGGCAGGGAATCCACCTTGTTCAACCTTTACTGTTCCAATTTGTCTCGCAGACTGGGGCTGCGGGAAGTTTTAAGCAGCAGGATAGAGATACGTACAGGCTACGGAGGCCAAGGAGGGGCCCCAACTACCAACAGAGTGAGGTCAGAGCCCATAAGTGACTCAGTCTGATCAGGGGCGAGTTGACCTTACAGGGGTGAGCCCCATAGCTGACAGCAGGCCTTATAGGTGCGCTGTTATAGGGTTCCTACAGAGCACTACCCCAGCACTACCTTTTCTCGGCGAGCTCTGCCTCCCGCTCCTCCCTCAGCAGCTGCAGCTGCCGCTCAGCCACCTCCTCCGCCATCTTGGCTCCACGGGCACTTCCGCTTCCGGGTCGGATGGGGGGGGGGGGGAAATGCTGTCATGGCGGCGCTGGGAGCAGCCAGACGGCGCGCGGCAGGTGAGGGACGGCCGAGTGGGAACGGCCAGCCTTCATCTCTGGTTTCTTGCTGCTCGCAGGACGGGCTGTGAGAAACGTGAGGGGAAACGTTCGTGAAAATGAACGGTGGGATTCGGCTCTGTGACTTTTGAGGGGGTCTGCTGCGAGGAGCTACGTGTGGATCACCTCTGTAAAGGGGGGTGAGCCGGTGGGGTTGGGGTTAGGGGGATTTCAGCGTGCCTTTTAGCTGGTGGGTGAGGAAGGCGGTGTTCCTGCACGGGAACTGTGCATTTAATAAGCAAATTGCTTTAGCAAGGCTTGTTGCTGTTCCTGAGACGATTAGCCTCTCAGCACATGTTCCTGGGTCTCTCCTCTGTATGGAACTGCTGAATCACGGCCTGAACCTCTGATTGATCACCTGAGGCGAGCAATGAGTCAGCCACGGGAGCACAGGTGAAAGCAATTCACCTGTGTTGCTGGAAGGGGTGGAGCCTGGCTCCACCTCTCCTAGACCCATTTAAGAGCTGATTACCAGTAGGGAAGGGTATCTTCTGGAGATCCCTTCTCTGGAGTTTTGTGGTGAGCCTAGGATGTGGGTAAGCTTTCTATCTATTCTCTTTTTGTTACTATGATCTGTTCTGCCAAACTCTCTTATTTATTTCACAATTATAACATCTTTATATTCATTGACTATACGCTCCTCTGAAAATAGTGATTCTATATTCCAAAGTGCAAAATGAGTTACATGGTTAGTGGGTATAGTGGGGTTGGGTTGATGGTTGTACTTATTGATCATAAGGGTCTTTGCCAACCTGAGTGATTCTGAGTTGTAGTAAGCTACTGTTCTTCCTGTGTTTATGTTATTATCACCTGTTTAACTTCATAATTCCTCACCCCTCCTACCTAGAAGAAAATCAACATCTGGAATGGTGGAAATCCAGATGCGAAAGTGGTGGAACCAAACCTGATGCACTTTCTTCTGCTCTTCCATTTGGCTTTCCCTTGGGGTTGTGGTATCTGCTTGGCATCCCCAGGACTCCAAAACACACTCCTGTGGTGTGCTTTTGAGCAAAAACTCAAGACTAAATAAACTTGCCTAGAATCACCTGATAAATAAAGTGTAAGAGTTCTTCTCCCCATTTTGAGAGGGATCCTTTTAGCAACAGTACTCAGAGTTAAGAGAACACGTGACAGTTGAGACTACTTGCTTCCCTGTGCCCCTTGGTTGTGTTGTTCTATTGCTCTTTCAAGGAGGTAGGGTGCTATGAGTGTATCCTTGTGTATCTGTTCTGTCTTGCTGGAAGTGGTACTTGAGCCAAGTGTGCTTGCAGGACAAGACCTTTCTCTTGCTCTCATGCAGTGCTGCATAGCTGTTAGTCCTTTGTCATTACTGGTGAGGCTGCACCTTGAGACTGTGCAGTTTTTGTTCTCTTATTATGAGAAGTCATTGAGGCCCTGGAGCGTGCCCAGAGAAGGGCAGTGGAGCAGTGAAGGGTCTGGAGCATAAGTGTTATCGAGAATGGTTGAGGGAACTGGGATTGTTTCCTGTGGAGAAGAGGAGGCTTTGGGGAGACCTTACAGATCTTTACAACTCCCTGACAGGAGGTTGTGGTGAGGTGGCAGCCAGCCTCTTCTCCCAGATAACAATAGGATAAGAAGTGATGGCCTCAAGTTGCACCAGGGGAGCTTCAGATTGGATATTAGTTAAAAAAAAAAAAAAAAAAAAAAAAAGTTCTGTAAAAGAGTTGTGAGGTATTGGAACAGACTGCCCAGGGAAGTGGTGGAGTCATTGTATCTGGAGGTGTTCAAGAGCCATGGAGATGCCATGCCAAGGGATGTGGTTAGTGGTCATGGTGGTGATGGGTTGATAACCATCAAACCATCAATCTTGGAGGTCCTTTCCGACCTTTATGATTCTATGGTCATGTACCTTCTTTTGCTTTCTTCATTGCAGTGGAACCTGAACAAAGGTTTTATAGGTAGAAAACAGTATCAGGGAGTGGACTAGCATATGACGTTTCCTTCAGCATCACTGTACTATTGCCTCACTAAAAGACTGAGTCCAACTGTTGCTGCTTGGTTTTAATACTTTCTCCCTCTCTCCTTTTTAGCTTTCTTGTTTTCATCTGTGGTTCGCCTCCAGAGCTCTCAGAGCACATCTCTACAGGAAGGGTAATGTCAAATGACATTCTGCTTTCATTTTTGCCCCCTTGAAATGCTGACCTACCAGGGGGAGTGTGGGAGGGGGAATGGAGGCAGGAGCTTGTTTCTCTCTAGAAGAGAGACTTAATAGATCCCTTTGTTACTTCTCAATAAGTTTTAGATGCTCTGCCTCCCCTTTACCACCTGTGCTAGAAGGACACTTCCATTGCCTTGTGAAGCTGAATAAAGAGATAATTCCACTCCACTGAGCAAGGGGCTGCAGTGTGGTTCAGTCAACAGCAAACAACAGAGAATCCACTCAACTGTTGCTTGTCTACTTAAGTATAGATGAGGTTTATTTCCCAGCTGGAGTTGCTGTTCTCTCATAAATACTGAATTTGGGCTACAGTTTTTATAAGATGTAATTACGAGGCCAGTTGCTAGAGGATACCAATCCAGAAGGCTTTAGGCTTTGTTAATTTCAGCACTTTTAGAAATGCTTGTTTGTGTCTTCATTTTGTTTCCTTTGTTGAGACCTAGTACAGAAATATCTGTATCGAGCTACAGCCTGTGCTGCTTCTTGCTTTCCCCAGAAGGGGGCACTGCAGAGATAAGGAAGTCCTATGAGCGGCATCTGGGGGAAATGACAAAATTCATCTGTGCTGCAGAAGGTTTCAAGGGGGTAGTCTCTTCTATGTGTAGGAACACAGTTTGGATCTCAGCCTCCATGGCACAGCACACAACGTTGCTGTTAAACTCTACTGCAAGCCCACAAAGTCTTGGTGCTAGCAATTACTTTGAGTTTCTTTAAGAGGCTTTTTTTGCATTACTGAGTAAACTAGTCAAGCACAGTGTTAATGTTGCTTTCTTTCACTAGCATCTAATGTTCGTTTCCTGAATGTTTTGTGCAGCTTGTGCATCCTGAGTTATTTATGGAAAATGTGGATTTCAGTCCCCAGGAAATTCTGACCTTTCCATTGTTTAATTAGTGAGCAGAACCTCTCTTCAAATTTCAGAAATCAGTATCTGATAATCAAATTGAGATCCAGGATGAATCTACCTCCCTTTTACTAAATCTCTGCTTAATAAAGAATTGTAATCCGTTGCCCTTCAGCCATGTGTTCTGACTGAAGGTATTTGGCGCATCTCTGAATAATCTCTAAATGCAGCTTTATAGGCCTTGTGCTCCTTCCCCTGCCTCCTGGAGGGTGTACTGCAGTTGTGATGAAAGCATTGCATGTGCAAAGTGCTGCTCTTGCTTAGAGTGGCGCTTTACTCTCCACTGTTTCTTAGGGAACAAATCAATAGTTTTCTGTAACTGGCAGAGAAGTAAACAGTTGCCTCTAGTTCTCCTTGCTGCTCCTTGTCCAGGAGATCTTGAAAAACAGCTACTTACAAGCAAGTGCTATTTGCATTTTTACTGCTTGAACTCATGCTGTGATCTGCACGTAGCATTTCATTTTTGAATTAACACCCAGTGGCATATTAGAGCAGAGTTAATTGTTGTTCAGCTCTGATGTTTTTAGCAGGGCTCTCATGATTTAGTTCCATCTGCACTGCTGTCGATAAGAGCAGCATATGCATGTGGGTACCTGCAATACTGATTGTACGAGGCTTGAGGTAGAAAAGAATCAGTTCAGTTTTCAGACAGTTTCCTTCCCAGTGACATTCCTGAGAAACCTCACTGTAACAGGTAATGAGAACATGTTTCTGGCTGATAGCTAAATACTCCTGTCTGCTTTTGGTCTTCTGTGTCAATGCCATTGCCTGCTTGCTCTCAAACCGCCAGTGTATTCACTAAAATGAAGGTGTTGCTCTGTTACTTACTGAAAATGGTACATGGTTGTCACAAGGTGCAACATTTAGGTGGAGCAAGTAGAGCAGTTTTCAAGTACAGTAACTTGCTGAGGCAGTCTGAGTTGATCCCGTGGTCTCTTAAAGAACCTAAAAGGGAAATGCTTAGAACTGTCCCAGGATGATACCCGGTAGGGACTGCAGGGACTGATGTGAAGTTTCAAAATGGAGAGGCTCTTGTCTCAGCGATGTTGTTACAGAGTATTTTGAAAAGAAATGCTATTAAAGCAATTTTATATCACAGCAGTGAAAGCTACCTGTTCAAGATGAATAAGGATTTAATTGGCACCTTTTAGAAAAATAAGTTGAGGAATGATGCTTGCACTTGTCTGGTTGGATGCAAGATGGTGCATGCTTCTGCTCTTTTTTGTGAGCCATCTGAATGAAGACAGGTGTAGGTCTAAGAGATCTCTCCTTGTCCCTCCCCAGCATGGTATAGGTTGTAGATAGACATGGTAATGACACAGAGGAAGCTTTTGGGTTGAATACTTGTGTTGTAATGCACTGAATTGCACCTGGGGTGAGATAAGCTGTTATTACTGCCATTCAGGTTTTGCAGCTGGAAGTGACAAAGGAAGAGCAGCCTCATAACTCACCTGTAAAGAACCCAGCTGTGGTCTTAGGACCCTCTCATAACTATTTCACAGAGAAGAGCATTACAAGTAGAGTATAAAAGGATGTGTTAATATTCATAGTACTTGAGGATGATTTAAGAATGCTCCTTAGCCATTCCTCACAGTCAAAGGCAAGTTGCTGCCTCCTAGATGCCCCTGCTATTGGATAATTGCAGGGCTTTGTGCTGGTACTGAAGTGGGGTGAGAAACATGTGTTCAGTCTCAGCTGTAGTGGTGGTAACTTGGATCATAGAATTAAGTTGGAAGGGACCCTTAAAGGGTCCATCTGGTCCAACTCTCTTGCAGTGAACAGGACACAGGACAGCTAGATCAGAGTGTCTGGAGCTCCATCCAGCCTGACCTTGCATGTCTTTGGGGACAGAGTATTCACTACTTTAGGCAACCTGTTTCAGTGCTTCATTACCTTTAATGTTAAAAAGCCTTCTTCCTTACATCCAGTCTAGATGAAAGTTTGAATCCATTTCCACTTGTCCTGTCACAACAGACCCTGGTAGAGAGTCTGTCCCCTTATTTCTTATAGCCCTCTTTAGATACTGAAAGGACACTTTCAGGTCTCCCTGGAGCCTTCTGTTCTCCAGGCTGAACAGCTATTTCAGCCTGTCCTCACAGGGGAGGTGGTCCTCCTCTACACACTCCAGCAGATCCATGTCTCTCCTGCAGTGAGCACTTCACATCTGGATACAGACCTTGCTGGCCACTCTTATTTTGATGTGGCTCAGGATACAGTTAGCTTTCTGGGCTGTGAGGGCACATTGCTAGTGTGCCTTCCATCACGTCCAGCTGCCATACACCAGTACCTTCTCTTTTCAGCAGGGCCCTGCTACATCCTTATATCCTCCAGCTTGTATTGATACTGGGCCATGACCCAGGTGCAGACCTTGCACTTGGTTTGTTGAGCCTTGTGAGGTTCACCTGAGCCTAACTGCTCAGCCTGTCTAGGTCTCTCTGAATGACATCCCATCTCTCTGGTGTGCTGACTGCCCTCCACAGTTCAGTGCCCTCCACAAACTTGCTGAGGGTGCACTTGATCCTGCTATTGATGAGGGTGTTAAAAAATGCTGATCCTAGGACTGACCAAAAGGACACCACGCGTCACCAATCTCCATCTGGACATGGAGCCATTGATTACTGCACTCTAGGTGCAGTCTCACAACCAGTTCCTCTTCCACTGAACAGTCCACCCATCAAATCCATATCTCTGATTTCTAGAGAAGGATGTTGAGTGGGACTATGTCAAAGGATATATCCGTGGAAAAGCTTAACAAGAAACTTTCGTCTAAAACTCATATGCAAGCAAGGCTTTAAGTACGTCTGCTCCGACTGGTGCTTGTGACAAAATTCCAGTCAGTAAAAACAAGGTGGTGGAAAGTACCTGGTGATTACTGGGCTTGATCATCACTAGCACATCTAGCTGCAGATCATCAGGGATAAGTCATAACCCAGCTTAGCTGAATTTTATGTTAATTCTGTTGGTTTCTTTGTGATCTCTTCTGTTGTTTTGATCCATTTCAATTAACATTCTGAAGTGGTAAGTAGGGGGGAAAAAAATCCATTTCCCCCATGTTGTGATAGGAAGGGTATAAAACAAACCAACCACTGAGGTGTTTATTCCATTTGCTTAAAGCTTACAGCGTTTCATGGTGTACCTAAATGACATTGGGTCCTGGGAGCAGTGATTGTGTTAGGCAGAGGTTTTGTGGGTTGAGCTCAGAAATGAAGCCAAATATGTGTTTTTTTTATCTTTTGGAGAGATCTGTTTGTTACATGTGGATCTTCATTATTAACCTTATTGTTCACAGGATTGTTGCCAAAACATCTTTGACTTCACCCCCATGGTCTGAAGTAAAATTGCCAAATCCAGTGGAAGAAGCAAAGCACCATGCAGGTAAAGGTCTCAAGTCTTCAAGTGAAGCTTAACACTCTAGTGTTGGCATTGGTGGCTTGATTGAGTCTTTGGTGAGTCAAGCTTTTTGTTCTTTCCTTTTAGTGTCACTGGACTCATGCTCTGACTGCTTGTATTAGAGATTTGGGTAGATTATGAAGTCCCTTAGTCTGTGACAGTCTGACAGGTCATACTGCTTTCCAAGGGCTCTTATCTGATGGGATGTGTTGCTACCTAAAGCATAAAGTGTGGCTTTTCAATCAGAGGGAATAACTGTCTTTTCTTTTAGTGGATACAACAAAATGCGGAAGCCAGCATAAGCAGTTGAACAGAGGGCATGTCAGAGAGCTGATATTTTAGTGAATAATGCAGAATGCTAGAGCCAGTATAAGCAGTTGGACAGTGGGCACGTGTCAGATGTGGCGTAAGACAGCAAGCAGGTGGGAAGCAACACAGTCTTAGAAAATGCATGCTTGTCCACACATTTAGTCAGGATCATTGAACACAGGCACTAGTCCTCTTGGAAGGAGCCTATGGATCAGACAGGAGTTTGCCTCACAAGTCAGCATATGAAGTGCATGAGGCTGTTCACAGAATCCCAGAATCACAGAATTGCCAGGGTTGGAAGGGACCTCAAGGATCATGAATCTCCAACCCCCCTGCCACACGCAGGGCCACCAACCATTCCACCTAATGCTAGACCAGACTGCCCTGGGCCCCCATCCAATCTGGCCTTGAACCCCTCCAGGGACGGGGCATCCACAACCTCCCTGGGCAGCTGTTCCAGTACCTCACCACTCTCTCCGTAAAGAATTTCCCCCTGACGTCCAACCTATATCTCCCTTCCCTCAGCTTAAAACCATTTCCCCTTGTCCTGCTGTCACTCACCCTTTCAAAGAGTTGATTCCCCTCCTGTTTGTAGGCTCCCTTTAGGTACTGAAAGGCTGCAATGAGGTCACCCCGCAGCCTTCTTTTCTCCAGGCTGAACAAGCCCAGCTGTTGAACAACTGGACACAGGTTCCTCATGGCTGATAGAGATATGGAAATGAAATACAGAGAAGGCAATATGTATCTAGCCTTATCTTGTCTGGGAGGGGCTGTTGTCATCCAGACCATACTACAGATGGTAGAAGAGAAACCAGCACAGGTACAGAATGTTTCTCAACAGGAACAAGCCCTCGTGGGTGAATTTCTCTTACAATTCCTGTGGTAGTGGGCAGTTAGCAGTCATCTGCTTCATGCAAGGAATTAGCTCTTTATTAACAGGCTGTTTTACTGTCTTGTTGCATTAGCTTCTAGGACATCAGTGAAAGGCACCTGAAAGGACATTCTGAGGGCTGTAGTTTGGAGAGGCCTGAGAAGTGAAGGGAAGAGGAGATCTACAAGGAAACAGTGGAAGGAGAGAGCAAAGCTTTGCCTGTGTTTTAACAGAGAGATTCCCATAGCATAGCAAAAATGTGGTAATAACTGCATGAGTGATGTGCCTTGGAGAGAGCTTCTTCCAGGTCTTCTCTCTGACTGCTTTTTTTATTCTGCTTTTCATTTCCTCTGCATGTCTGCAATTGTTCAAGTGACAGATGAGAGCATGATTTGACCCAGTAGTGAACCATAAACTGCTTCATTTGATTTGCTGACACCCTGGGGTGAATAAGGTCCCATGTTCTTATGACTGCTTCACATGGGATCCTTGGGGTTGTTGTGATTTCCGTGCCTTGTAACCTCCTACTGTTTATGAGCTTGCATTGCTGTCTCTTGGCTGTGCTTATCCAAAGCAAACAGTAATTAGAGCATTTGAATTCTGCCTGATATTCTCCCACTGTCTGTGGAAACAGATGTGTATATTTTAGGCACCATCATTCCACATGATGCTGAGATTCAAGCTGTTCTAACAATCAGGTGGAAGTATCCATTGATGTTTCCTGTCATTAGAGATGTTTGGAAGAGCAAGCAATAACTTCAGAGTCCATGTATGTTGAAGAACACTTATCTTTTTCTGATACAAAAAGATGAAGTTGTGTGGTAGAAAGTTGAAATTTGGTGAGGAAGTAAATCTTGTTAAAATGTGACTCCACATGTTTTTTTGACCAAGGTCAGTGTCTTGAAATGCTGGTTTTGAGATGTTGACCACAGTACTACTGAAATACATGTATCAGCAGTTCAGAGCTGAAATTAATTTGTTGTATCCTGTTGTGCATTGGGGTTTGTAACAAAGAGAAAGGTATCATACTTTTCTGTGGGCTTTCGGTAGTGGAACTCTCTGAATCAGAAGAATATACAGAGGACTTTTCTCCTGGGATGGCAATCCCAGCAATACAGAAGCACAGCTCTTAGTTTTAGTGGGAATTGCACTAACTACTGTCTTGTAAAACAATTTCTCTTCTAGCATCTACCTATAATAGTTTGCTGGTTTGAAACTTGGACACTTTCAGAGTGTTCCTGTAAGGGTTGGACTTAGTTTGGTTGTAAGTGCTTGTCTGTCCCAAATGGTGGTTATGCTTTGTTTACATTCCAAGAAAAGAACAGTGATTCAGCCACTTGTGAGGACAATGAAGAAAGTCTATTTTTCCAGTTATAGTGAAGTTACTCTGTGATCAGCCTGAGATGGGGAAAGCTGCTATTTGGCAGGGAATAGCACTCGTTAAAAAAGACCTTTTGATGTTCTCATAAAACTTGATTTTGGCTTCACTGCACAGGAAGTTGATTACAGAAATCTGAGTTATGTGCATGTGCTATGCAGGGCCTTGTCCCTGAAATTTATACTGCTCCTGGCACCTTGCTCTGGTTGCATGTGCATATAGGAAGAGCTTTTCTGGAAGTCTTTCCAGTTTTTGCTGTAGCTTCTCAAGCCAGGTTTTGTTAGCATGCTGGAGTCCTTCTTCCTGTGTACTTTGCTCTCTTGATGTTCCTGGTTGCTTTACCAAGTATTTAGTGTCCTGGCCTTTTCATGTGTTACTTGGAAATTGAGGAGAGCTCCATTTCAGATGCGTAGACAAGCACTCTCTTCTGGAACGTTTTGTATTTGAGTACAGTGCGTTTCAGGCTGCCTAAGAAAGAGGCTGAGAAATCAACTGCTTGGAATTAGTTGCATGATATATTTATAGGTGTCTGCTTGCGTGCTTACTATGAGTAGGCTTTTACAGCAACCAGAAGATGGAAAGGTTTGTGAAACGGTGACTCGTGACCTGTAAGAAACAGCATTGCTCTTATCATAAATTATTAAGGTTGGAGAAGACCTTCAAGATCATCTAATCCAACTGCACACCGACCACCAATTGTCCCTTAAACTGTGTCCCTAAGTACACATCTACACCCTTCTTGAATCTCTTGAGCCTTACTTAAACTGTTACCTTTTGGGAATCTTTAGGTGAGAGAGAGCAGTGTGGCTGAGTTAATTCTGATTGACTCTTCTTGCTTTGGATTTTCTACTCTGATTTCTTCTCTGCTCTTTGCCTACAGAAGTGGTACAAAAGGTGAATGAGATGATTGCAACAGGGCAGTACGGGAGGCTCTTTGCTGTGGTTCACTTTGCCAGCAAACAGTACAAAATAACCAGTGAAGACTTAATTATGATGGACAACGTGCTGCAGGCTGAATGTGGAGACCGAATCCGGATGGAAAAGGTAATGTGCCTTGTCCACAGTGCCTGTGACCCCCATGCTGTTTCTGCTGCAAATGTTTTCTGAAGCAAAATTCATAACCAGTTTTTGAAAAGTCCTGGAGAGCTCCTGTTAGATCTCCCGTTCTTATTTTCAGCTTTTTTGTCTTAGTTTTATTCCAATCTGAGCTGTGGTGTTAGTGATAATGTTAATGTGGTTTCTGTTGAATGAGGTTGGAATGAGTTGTGACAGACTCTGTTAGAATACAGATTTCTGTTATACTAACTTCATCTGAAAAAAGAAAATTACAGTTGTTGTTTTTAGAGATGACAGTGAAAGAGACTATGTTTACCTTGAGCCTGCTACACCCAAAACACTGACAGTACTCCCAGAGGAGCTGTCACTGCATAGAGCTTTCCAAGATCGTTATCATGCTGAATGTGTTGGGTGAAGGTGGAAGGATGCTGCCTGTAGGGGAGAATTGCCAAGATGCAACTCAACATATTTATCCTTAGTCTTGGTTAACTAGCAGGAACTTGTAGAGGCTCATTAATTAAAATTTTGCCTAACCACCATAACCCAACACCACCATACTCCTGTAGGAATTTCACTGAAAAATGTCTCGTTAAAGGAAAAAATAGAACACCTTATGTCCATTTCTATGTTGCTTTTAAACTGCTACCATATAGTTAGTATGGAAGGAGGCAACCTTATGAAATGCTGTCTCTTCTCATGAGAACTTTTCTATTATTTCACCTGCTTCTTGGATGGGAGTGTGACTGAAATGCCCTGAAATGAAGGGGTTTGTCTCTGTGGTTTTGAACTGACCTGAGCTATTCATTTCTTTATTGTCTATCTTGAGGCCTCGGGGAGGACAATGATTAAAGTGTTTCTGTAGAGGATATGTTGCAATTGCTATAAAACCCAATGATTTTAGGAGCTGCCACTCATTCAGCACCCATGCAAAAGCCTATTCTTCCCTGTATTGCTTTTCATATCTTTTACAACTGTTGGTGAGCCAGAACAGGGAAGTTCAGTGTGTTCTGATCAGTGTGCAAGATACTTCTAAAGTATGTTTTAAAATGAAGTTCTGGAAATGTGTCTGTTTTATGAATCTGTTTCTTGCCTGTGAGCTGCCGTTCTCCACTGGTCTGCTCTAGTAATGATGCCAGGTTTGAAACATGTAAAGGCCCATTTTTAAACAGTTTGGCTCATGTGTGGTGGCTACAGAATTTGGAAAATATTGCTTGTGTTTCTGCTGGTATAATGAACCACTCATATGTCTGATTATTCTGCGTAGGTTTTGCTGGTTGGTGCTGATGATTTCACGCTTATTGGAAGACCGCTCCTGGGGTAAGAGATCTCATTCAAGAATTATCCTACAACCTGAAAAGAAACCTGAATTTATCAGTGCTATCTCTTTTCCCAGCCCTATGGATTTTGGAGAAAAAAAAACAGCAATAAAACAAACTTGTCAGCTTTGGCTGGCTCTTAACTATTACCATAGTGCCAGGATAGAGCACAGTACCCATTCCTAAGGTAACTGTAGGATATTAACTCTGTTGGCTTGGCTCTGCTTTCTGATGTATAAGTCTTGCACAAACTAGCAGTAAATCTTGCTCTTTACTCCCTAACCATAATTGCAGTGATAGCCATCTTAAAATAACCCAGAAATCCATGCCTGTCCCTAGTGCCTTAATTTGAGGTTGTGTTTTTTTTCTTAAAACCTGTTTCCTTTTACCCATGATTTAACCTAGCGGGTCTTAATCTTAAATGAAGAGTTCCAAGCTTTTCCTTCTTCCTAGTTGCATGCCTCCAACAATCATGGCACCAGCATCATCTTAGAGCTGTCAGACTTGCTATACAAATGAGCAGAACACCTAGTTTGTCAGCATTTTCTTTACCAGAAGGAAGTGGTGTGTGGACTTGGTGTTGCTGGTTGAGCTCTTAGCATTGGCCAGAAGCAAAGTCATCAGCTCTATGTAGCTTTCCCCAGAAGTTCTAGTGGTAAAGTGCTAGTCAAAATAATGTGGCTTGCAAGTATGTATAATGTAGCTTTAAGAATCTGGAAGCCCCAGCTGTGGTCTGGCTGCAGACTGAGCTGCGTGTTAAGTGTTGGTTTGAACTGCAGCAATTTGGCAGAGGACAGCCAGATAAGGAGGAACTTGTAGGTCTTGATGCCTTGCAGATTCAAGTTAAAAACACCAAGTATTTTCAAATCAGGTTGGCTTCTGAATGCTATCTACATTACCAGGAGGATGTCTGTATTCCAGAGTAGCAAATAATGTGTTTGCACACTCGATAACATGATTTCTGCAATGGGTTTCTAGTGTTTGATAGGATTATGAGAACTGACAGCCCTTATAGCACTTCTGTAAAGAGATTTGGAATGACAGATCTTCAGGAGCCTCTGAATTATTGTCAGGTACTGTTTATCTTGTTGAAGATCTTTAGGAAGTTGATATACCATTTCTAGGATTAGAAACATAAACTTGCAGAATAATAGGATCATAGAATATCCCAAGTTGAAAGGGACACAAGGATCATTGAGTCCAGCTCCTGGATGCATTCTGCAAATGGGGATGTGTCATGCCAGACAGGTTGGGAGCACTGTCCTTCACCTGGTTTTCTTAACTAGTGACACTGGAGTGCTGTACTTGGCATGTGCCCTAAGAGCTCTAGAACAGGAAGAAAAGCAACTGTTAGATTCCTGCGTGTGCTTTAAGTCTGCAGAAGGCACCGTCAGTTGCTTGAAACAGACCAAATTGCACAGTGAACTCTAGTAATTTTGGCAGAGGAGGATCACTGGGAGGAGGAGGAGACAGAGTGGAGGGCCAGTGGAGAGATGCCATCTTCTCTGAGATGTGGAGAACCTTACCAGTTTTCCCACTCTCTGTACTCCACATCACAGCAATTCTTTCTCATAGTTCCCAGTTGTGTCTAAACCACAAACATTTTGAGGGGAGATAAGAGCTGGGATGTGAACAAAGGCATTTTTGTTTTTCTGTTGTTTTAAAAATAAACACATCAGAATACTTGCCCCAGTGTCTGTGTAAGACAGTTCATTACAGCTGCACTCCCTGTTCAGACTTGGAGACAGGTATGAACTTGTCCTCTTTTGGGCAGATGGTCACATTTTTATTTTCTGTAGCAGATACCTCCCAAGATTATACTTCTCTTAAAAAAAAAAAAAAAAAGAAAACCAGCAGTGCAACAAAACATATCTTTGTGGCAGAGGCTATTTTGAAAACTTGGAACTGGCTTCTCTGGAATCTGTTGGGTTTTGTTTTTGTTCAAGTGACTTGCTGTCTGTTCGATGGGCACAAAGGGTATCAAGTGGTATGCAGTTATACTTCATTTAGCTGTATAATGTAAAAATTGTGTATTTTGAAAGCTGTGATTAGAAGCAAGCGTAGCTTTGCATGGGTTTCATCTCATGATTTGATGCCCCTGAGACAAAAAGTTGTTTCTATACAGAGTAGATCTGATGGTTTTTTTCCCCTTTAAATGAACCTTATTTTCCTCCTGTCACCTGACCATTTTTGCAGTGGCTTTAGTAGCAATGAAGAATTGTCTGAAAATCTTAGACAGCCAGTCTGGATTCGCTTACCCTCTGCAGGGAGAGTTTGGCTGAAATTGTTACTCTGACAGTTATGGTCCTTTGGGGCTGTAGGTTGCCTGGATCACTTGCATTGCTCAGTGACAAAAGCTTTCAATCCAGCTTAAATCCATGAGGCTTCAGCCTAATTTTTTCTTACTTCCTGCTCAAATCTGATTGATAGATGTGCTTTTGCATCTTTGCTTTCTGAGAGCAAGTCTTGGCTGTCCCAAATGCTGGGAAATGTGTGACCCCCCCCCTTCTTATTTTTATGGGCATTCCAGTCATACCTAAGACATTCAATAAAGATTTCTTTTTCCTTGGGCTCTATTTTGCTGAGAACTTTTCTGCTTATATGCACTTCACCAGCAATTTGGTTTCTATCCTCCTTCAGCCTTCTGACCAGCAGCCCCTAGTGGTTTGTCCAACAAAGAGGAGGACTCACTGGGACGTGCTGGCCTTGAGCTTTGACCTGCACCTCACCTATTTCTCAGCAACACCCTTAGTTTGCTTGAAAGCTTGTAAACACCTATAAGCAGTGCATGGGGGGATGATTATTTACAGATACGCCAGTGTTTCTCCTGTTCGCTGAATTCTACTCAAGGTTTAGAGCGGCAGATGTGGTCTGGCAATTAGGGCTGTATCGGGAATGGCTTGGCTGTGTTGCTGCAAACTCTGCCTATTCTGAGAGCAGCACAGAGATTTTAGTGACGGAGTTGTTTTATCTGGCCTGGCTGCTTTCCAGTTTCCCCATGTGATCATCATTAATGATTTTCTGACATGCCTTTACTGTCCAAGCCTCTGAGAAGTCAGCGGGAGTTTAAATTTCCTTTTGCCTCCGGTGAACAGAAATTAGACCCAGAAAGCAGAGCTCCCTAATTGTAGTGGCAAAACACATCCAGCCCCTGGACTGCAGTTCAGTTTTTTGGTTTGTTTTGTAGCATCACAGTGCTTGCTGTGTATTTCAGTAGTGCTGTTGGTCCTAATGTTGGGCTGAATCTGGATAACATCTTCTAGCTGGGATAGCAGGGTCACCTGGTGGTCTTTCAAAATCTAGATTATTTTGTCTATTTTTTTCTGGGCTAGTCAGTAAATGTAGATGTATCAGTTTTTTCTTCTGACTGTCTTTCTCTCCTCACTGAAGGATTCAATCACTGATAGATACCATAGCCCAGAGGGTAAATGTTAATATGAATGCGAAATGTCTCAGAGCCTTTGGCCTCTCACTGACCTTGTTGGAACAGCTGGCTAGATGGGCTTCTCTCCTCTGCCCCCATAAGTGCCAAGTCATTTGTCAAGAAAATGCTCTTTAAATGTTCTCTAGCAGCAAAGTCAGTGTGCTAATTGGTTTTTAATGGTACTCTGCAGTGATGCTGCATGAAAGCGTCTCTTCTGTCTTGATGGTGGCTGTTGATTAAAAGTACACTTTCCAAAGCTCTTGTCTGAACGTGTTTATGCTCTCGGAGAAGAGCCAGTGAACAGACAGGTAGCTGATCCTACAGCACATGCTCTGCATCAGCCTGTTTTCTAGGTTGGGTATTTTTTTGAGTGGCAGCCAGAATTCCCAGTGCTCTTATTTTCAAACTTCACCAGGACTTCTGGTGCTCTGCAGCTTTCCTGGATGGGTAGGAAGTGTTTATTCATGTGTATTGGTAGAGTAATACAGAGCAATGGATTACTTTGTGGCTTTAGTCATGTGTGAAGGAAATATGGCTATGTTTTTCTCTTCCATCCCTGGGGAAGGAGGATGTTTAGTTGCAGAGAATTTCCTTCCATGTGCAGAAGTGAGTGAAACAATTTGAAACTTTGAGTGATGTCACCACCCAACCTGAACTCCTCTGTTTGTGAAGTAAGCTGTATGTGAAATCAGTGAGTGCGTGTCCTTTCTTCCAATTTGGGGTAAGCAAGTGGACAGACTAAGAGGGGGAGGGAGAAGGGAGCTGTGTGGGAGAAGAAGTGACTTGCTCCAGTAGCTGATTAGCTGTGCTTTCTGCTAGAAACAGTGGCCACATCTCTTTTGGCTGAGTTTCTGCTAGAACTTACTCAGGTAAGAAAAGTCACAAGATTTTATTCCAGCTGTCTGGGGTGCTTTACAGAAGAATGAAAGACTTCTGTGTTGACCAGCAGAGCACAGGAGGAGGGTCTTTGGTGGGTTTGATCTGTGCCATAAGCAAAGTAGAAAGATCTTGTGAACACGGCAGGAGAATTTATCTGATCTGTAATCCTGCAAGCTCCTCCAGGCTTCTCTTACTAACTCCTTCCTCAGCTGTTTCTGATCTCGTCCTTCATGTGGCAGAGAGGTACTGCTCTTCAGACTAGCACTTCACTTGGTTGTTCCACAGACAGCACCTTGAAACTTTGGTTTTGCACCACAAAGCTAACTTCCTGACAGATGTCCCTTCTTCTTCCCTGGCGACCTTGTAGTTCATGTGGACCTGGGCTTTTTATAGCAGGATGTGTTACCTTTGTGTCACTTCTCCCTCTGAACCTATTCACCAACAGGCAGAGAATGTAAATAATTAACAAGTGGTACTTTTTTTTCCTGTATTTTTAAGGAGAGATCTTGTCCGTGTGGAGGCTACTGTGATTGAAAAGACGGTGTCATGGCAAAAAATCAACATGCGCTTTCGGAAAAAGCACAATTATCAAAGGAAAAAAAGTAAGATATAAAGAACACAGAGTTTGCTTCCCTGCTGTTCTGTGGCTGGGATATGGATATGCCTGAAGAGAGATGCATCACAACACTAGTGCCTGGGGAGGGAGATGTACTTGCCATACCCCCAGCACTCCTCAAGGAACAAATTTCTTTCTCAGCTTGCTGCCCCAGATGTGTCCACTGTATTCAGAGCAACAGTGACTTTATTCCCTCTGACCAGCACCCTTTGTTAGATTTCTTTGTGAAAGAAAACAAAAAAAAAAATTCTAAACCTTTCTGGAAAAGAAAACATTCCAGGGCAGAAAACTGGTTTTGGTCTCCTTCCAAAGCCTTAAATACTGGCTATGTAATCACAGATACTGACAAGCTCTAACAGTATCCTGTGGCAGTCCTTTTGACTCCCCCTTCTCAGATATGACTGAGAGAGTGGAAAATGATGACTGTTCTTTGCAGAATGGATACTAAAACCTTAACCAGTATGACACAGTCCCATAGAGCTCTGCCTAGACTTCTTGCTCATGCAGTACCAATGTCATGTAGCTGTCCTGCAACATGGATGCATCTGTTAGCACACCCCCTCCTAGGCACTGTCATGCCTTGGCTTGCCTTAATGTAGCTCAGCCTTTTCTGATGGGTATGCAGCAGTTTGCATACATCCTGTGACCTTTTTTTTCCTTCTTTTCATTCTTTTTCAGTTATCACGAACCCACAGACCGTCCTCCGGATAAACACCATAGAAATTTTCCCCTGTTTGTCGTGATTGATTGATCGGATGTTGTGTGGCTTAGGCTTATTATTGCTTTAGGCAATTACAGAAATAAAACTGCCTCGGTGTCATAAAGTTCTGGACTTCTTGCTATTGTCTGAAGTGGAAATCTATATGTAATTTCTTTTTAAAAAGCAAAATGAAATTTTTTTTTGTTAACTGTTATTTCGGCATTGATGGTGTTTACTTGTTCAGTGCCTTAAACAACCCCAGCTGTGTTGCTAGCTGACAAGCTGTTTCATGCCAACAATGTTTACCTTTTGACTGCACACTTCTCTGAGTGCTTTTGTTTATCAGTGTCTCAGCTGATTAAAAATAACTGGGACTTCATTGGTTGTAGAAGAGGGCCATCAACTCCCCAGTCCCACAGATGGGTCCCTGAGCCTGGAGGGCAGGACTTAAGTGTATAAATGGTTGATTTAAAGAGCCTACTACTTGTCTTAGTTACTCATGTCCTTGCACGTTTCTCTACCCTGGAACTGTGGGTGCACTTAAGGCTAGCAGAGAGACATGCATTTTTGGGTGAGCTTGCTTCTCCTCTGGAAACACTCAGTGCTCTTCACAGATTGCAGATAGGCAAGATGTTTTTAAAAGTGTTAAGTGCTATTTATTTATTTATTTTTGTTCGTTCCTCTCCTTACCAAGCTCTAGTTGATCTGTTAATCTTGGCACTGTCTGGCTTCTGGGAATATTCTGTGGGTGCTTTGTGACCCACAGCAAACATTGTGCTGAAGAGTGCAGGGTAAGAGGGTACTGCAGGATCCCAAATCTACTCCTAAATTGTATTAAGATGTGAAAATCCTTCTTAAACGTTAACAACAGAAGATGCAGCTGGGAAATTTTCCTCTTAAAGGTGAGCCAAACTATTGCATAGCGGTACATTGTGTGTATACCGTTGAATAACAGATGCCAGTGGCTTAGGAGTGATTTCATACCTATTCCATATTCCATAAGAAACTTTTTTTTTTAATCTCTGGTCTTGGTATTCTTCTCTCTTCACTTTGTCTGCAAATCAAGCAGTATTGCTGAGCAGCATATGGAGTGCAAAGCCATATTCAGCAAAGGATTGCATTTGTTTCTGGATAGTGATGACAACTAGGAAGCATTTCCTGCAGCTTTTAGTAGGCTCTTGGGGTAGCTGTCAGATTCCCTACAGTTACCTTGAGAAATGACAAGTGGGTTCTGTTCACCTTGCCTCTTCTGTAGGGAATTCCTTGCTTCTAATGAGTCAGGACACCCAAATATGGGTGTACTTATGTGCCTTCGCTGCACTTCCTTCATTAAACTAAGGTTGCCCACTACTCTGCACAGAGGAAATGCTGGTTATGAACATAAATATATCTGAGTCTTGTCCTGTCTTATAAGTCACTATAAGTGTGCAGATCACTTGATATGCTATAAGCATTAAGCTTTGTAGTACAGGCTGCTTTCATCTTGCCTTACTTCACCTTGAGGTTGTGCTTGGGTTAAGCCAGTTCTCTAGTCACCAAAGAGGGGTTGGTCATCTCTAGAGGCTGACTTGTCTCTCCTTGCTTTGGATAGTTTGACATGGACAGCCCTTGGGAGAAGCTGTTCCTTCTCTGACTGTATATAGATGCCTAGATTTTACACTACTAGAAGAATACAGAGGCAGAGACCTTTCTACAGAAGAGGTTCAGGTTGGCTGCTGGAACAGTCATCCCAGGGCAGTGTGCGCAGCCCTAGGCTGCTGTAATTCAAGGAGCATCTCAGTCATACAGTCTGATTTTTGGGTGGTCCTGTGTGGAGCTAGGAGTTAGACTCAGTCAGTGTTCCTTATGTGTTTCTTTCAATTCATGGTATTCCATGATTCTGTTCTATGTAACCTGCTTTGGTCATTTTATCTTGCATCTTCTTTTCCAAGCTCTTACAGATGGAAGTAGTGGGGGGATTTCTTTGAAAACCATCTTCTCCTGGCACTGCTACCTCTTCCTCTTCTCCCAAAGGCAGCTTTAGTTCCTTGCTGGGGCCACAGATCCCTGCAGTAGCAATTAATTGCAATGTGTGGTGCCAGCGGGCTGGCATGAAGAGTGTGCTACCACAGATTATGCAGGGACTGCATTCCAGTTACAGGCTGTTCAGAGCCCACAGCGGAAGCAGCGTTGCCAGCTGAAGCAATTTGACTGGGAACGTCACAATTCCCATGTGTCTCTCAGGGTCTCTGAGTGCTAGGGCTAAGAAACAGCATGGCTTCCAGGGGAAATTTCTAGCTTTCCTGGTTGCAGAGAAACATTTGAAAATCACGAGAGATTTCAAAGCTCAGAAGCTGGACGAAGAAGCTGAGGGTTTATTCAAAAGAAAAATATTTTCAATCCACGTGTCCCCTCCAAAAAAAAAAAAATCCTTGAGAAAAGTGATTCTAATCCAGAAAAGATATAATAAGTTAGGGTGGCTTTGTGCTAGGTTCAGTGCCTTTTTCAGCAAATATCAAGAATTTAGTCAGAAATCAGGAAATGAGAGGAAAATATTCAGAAGATTTTATTGAATATGGTGCTTTCAGACTGAGACATAATGGGGCTACTCCTGATGTTTTCTTTGGGGGAAGTTAAAGCTCCTTACATGCCAAATGGAAGCAGAAATCTGTGGTTCTCTGGAGTGAAGCTACAAGCCTCCTTGACTTCATGTGTTGTGGGTGGCCACTTGAGACTTTCTTTTTTGGCTGCTTCATGTGCTTTGCCACACTCTAATAGTTTGAGCAAGGGCAGGAATTCTTCAACAAAACAGGCAGCACTGATTCATCATGGAAATTTATCTGCTAGGACAAAACATCTTTTTGGATAGCACGTCAGATCAGGGTGGAATTTGAGAGCTGCTTTGCCCAGTCTCCAACAATTAGGCATCTGCGTGGCTTAGATGAGATCCAGACCCAAGTTTCTGCCATCCAGCCTCTTGAAAGCAAAGCTGCTGAGTTTGCCTCCCTTCAGTCTCTCCTTGGTGCTGTTTAACTTTGTGTAAATAAGAATTCACTGCCCAAAGTGCGGAGGGCATCTGTCTGCTCTGAATCAGAGCTGAATTCCAGTGCCTGCTCCCTGCCCACTGGCCACAAAGCTGCTGGCTGTTCTGTTTTCCCTCTTGTGCTTTCGAAGAATGTCGATAGGACTCTGCTTCATACCCCAGCAGAAGGACAACAAGCTTTGCAATGCTGACATTTTACCACTCTAAGGAAGCCTTGTTTTCTCTCCAGTGTGGCTGCCGAGAGGTTTGCTCAAAAAGAGGCATTGGTAAGTGCTGTTGCTTCTCTGCCAGCTCTGCTTCAGCCTTGTGCTGTTCTCGTATTCTCTTTTTTCGGGATATAAATGCCTGGGTGTTACTGGATCCCAGCTGAACTGCACAACCCCCACTGGGTACCCCTTGTTCCCCTGTTATCTTTCTAAAAGAGCTAAGGGAAGCATTCAGCCAAGCACTAGTTGAGTGTGAGCCATGGCAGCAAGTGTTATGTGCTGGTGAACAAGAATCAACGAGCTATGGCCTGGCTGAATGTCAGCCCTAGCCCTTGCCTCATCCCTCACCCTCTTAAGGGCAATGGACTGTGGCACCTTAATTCACTATTTTTTCCTCCCTTCGGATAGATCTTTCAAGATTTTGGAACAAGTTTCAGTAATTTAAGTGGCATGTACTCATCTTCCCTTCCAATGGGATGTGATGGACACAGTGGCTCAGATACCAAATCTGCAGCATCAAGGTGCTTGTCTTTGTTATCACATCCTGAAGACCTGGAGCAATCTTTTGATATCTAAAGGGGGGGTGTAAGAAAGAAAGGGGACAGGCTCTTAAGCAGCCTGTTGTGATAGGACAAGGGGAAGTGGTTTCAAACTAAAAGAGAGGAGATATAAACCGGATGTAAGGAAGAAACTTTTTATAGTAAGGCTGGTGAAGCACTGACACAGGTTGCCCAGAGAGGTGGTGGATGTCCCATCCCTGGAGACGCCCAAGGTCAGGCTGGATCAGGCTCTGAGCACCTGACCGAGATGTACGTGTCCCTGTTCATTGCAGGGAGCTGAATTAGATGACCTGTAAGGGTCTCTTCCAACGCAAACAACTTTATGATTCTATGAAGAAATGGATTGTCATTGGGGTTGAAGTGGAAAAAGCCCATGCTGGCCATCTTACAGGATGGCTTTTTGTGGCGTGTCTCAAAGCACTGTCTGGATGAGCTTTCAATTACCTACGTGATGGGGTTCCTCTTCCATCCCTTGGCAAGTTGTTCTGTGCTCTAAAATAAGCTTCACAAGCAGAGCCATTCCTCACAGCGTGAAGCCTTCCTGTTGTGAGGATCCATTATGTGTGCAGCATAATGAAGTGTGATGGATGTGGGGAGCAGCAGCAGCCTTTCTTTTTGATGGCCAGCTTCTGCAGAGAAACAGAACTCTGAACTAACCTCTGTCTTTGGGACCCAAGGGACTTAACGTCTTAGTTATGATACGGGCCTGCTTAACATTCAGCAGCCTGTACCATTGCACAGGCTGCAGGCATTCATCCTGATGAAGTGGCAAAGCAGCTTGAGAAGTTCTTAGGATATCTCATTCAGGCCTTCAGGATGGGAGGGAAATGCTGTTAATATGCCCCTTTAGTGTTTTTTTCTAGTGTTTTTCTTTCTCCTTTACTTCCCCTGTCAGCTCTGCAAAGGCATCTTTGAACTTGCATGTGCAGCCAGATTTTTTTTTCTCAGCATGATCCGGACACATTTTGGCTGCACATTGCAGTACGCCTCAGTGGTTAGAAATCAGCAGCAGACAGAATGTAGCACTGGGAAGCCGTGTTGGTTTGATTTCTCTTGCACTAGATGTTTTCTTTCTTCTTTTGTGACCAAAGAAATAGCCCTTTCTATTAAGAAAAGAGATGCTTCACCAGCGGGTCCAGGCCAATGCAAAGCCATTATGGAGAAATCGGACAGCAAGCCTGGATGCGAGCGAGCACGGGGCAGGTGCCTTTCATCTATTTCCTCTCTCGCTATTTATAGAATATGGGAGAAGCAATTGGGATCTGTGTCCTTGTTTTGTAGTGTCTCTGTCTGGCTGGTAATACAGAGTTTGCATAGCTGAAGTGAAGTCAGGTTTTGATTCTGGTAGAGCCTGCAACACTGTTGAGAAAAGGAGCACCGAGCCCGCTCCTGAGGTCTGAAAGCACTTTTAAGTGCGTGCTGTCTTTGCTATAGCAACTAAAAATATGTTTATTGATAGTGTTGCTTTTGTTATATTCTTGGAGAGCATTCCCTGATGGCCCCATCCAATGTTAATGCTCGGGAGGCATGCTAGTAATAAGGCTTGCTGTGTGATTACTGTCTCTGAGGGAATAATGTTTGTACAGTCATTAATGAGAGACAATTACAGGTAAGACATGAGCTGGCAACAAGGGTTTTTGAGCCCTTTGGGTGGGTGCTTAGGAGATGAGCTAACTGCTATTGGGACTGGAACTTTACAATGCCTTTTTTAGTTTTAAAAAGAAGGTGCTGGCTTTGAAGTCGGCTTGACATTGTTGCTTTTAGCATGGATCTTCTGGTCTCCTGCACCTTGAAATCATTTAACAGAGCAGAAAAAGCTTCCACTTTATCTTTCTCTCCTAAATAAAAACACACTGCTACTTTCTGAGCCAGCAAAGTTCAGTATTTTTTTTTCTTCTCAAAATAGCCAATGATCCGGCAGGGATTTTGTTTGGACCATGCTATGGGATTTCCATGCTCTGGGGCTTGAGGTGATTTCATTCTGTCTGCTTTAGGACAGTGTTTTACTTCGGCTGGATTTTGGTTTGCAAGGACATGATTCATGAGTGAATTTGGCCTCTTTCCCAGTGCAAATTCAGCTTCTTAAAAATAAATAAATAAATTACCTGCAAGTATGGAGAAGCCTGGCTGCAAATATTTCAGCAGAAAGCAATATCCACCCCCACCTACCTTCATCTGGCTCTGCCAGAGGTGTTTGGTTCAGCGATTGCAAGTGATAATGCTGCGTTTCTATAATGATCCATTTCAAAGGTCTCCAGCAGAAATGGGCCCATGTATATGCCACCTCTCAGTGCGTGTTTGGGAAGACATGGCCTTCCAGCATGGCTTTCCCCAAATGCACTGTCAGGTATGTAAATGTCCCAGCTCCAGGGCCTGAGCCAACTTTTTCCTGAAGAATTCAAGAGTATACAAATAGAGTTGCATGGACTCTGCTGAATTCTGTCTTAAAGGCTAAAGAAGTAAAGGAGATCATTGGAATAGATCTTCTACCTGGTGTTCTCTGTCCATTTTGGCTGAATGCAGTGCTGTGGTTCAGCTTTTGGTCCCACCACAGTGTGGAGGTGCAATAAGAACCCCAAATTTGTTGCTGGTCAGAGAGCTGAAGCCACAACAAACCCAGGACTGTCTCTGTGAAATGCTGCAGCTGATGAAAGCTCACTGATCCCAATTGTTGAAAAAAGGGAAAAAAAAATCTGGGAGAGTATCCTCTTATGGGCTTTATGCCTGTATATTAATATGCATCATCAGTGTTGTGGCATAATTTTTCTACTGTTACACCCTGAGGAAGGATATAGACAGTTAAATGAGGAGCACCTTCCCTTGGTGAAGCTCGTGAGACCCCTATAAGGAGTCAGTGCTGGGGATGCAAGAACTGTGGCCCAGCAGACATCACCCATAGCTGTGATGCTTGCTTAAGCACAGCAAGAAGTGGATAAGCTGTTGTCTCCTGCTAGAAGCAGGGATGAGTTCTAAGCACCTGCTATGGGTGAGGTGGTTCCTGGATGCAGTTGGGATGAATGCATAGAAAAATATACACCGAATTTACCCAGGATGCACAGACACTGTCAGATTTGGCTGAAATCAACCAACATACTCAAAAACTGAACAGGGCCAAGCAAGACAGGATTTGACTGCAGACAAATCATTTCCTTAGGAAATGGGACTAAAAATAGGAGAGGGACACAAGGGAAACTTCTTCTTGACACTCCCCTCTACAGCTGGGTTTTTGTCCTGAAATCTGAGGTTTGGAGCTCTTGCTGATGTTTTCTGGGCTCCAGATGGAGTCAAGCTGCAAATGTGGTTCCTGTGAGTACTGGAGTAGCTCTAGAGGAGCAGGGACTGATGCAGGGAAGCACGTGCCAACTCATCATGGTAAGAGCAGCGTAAGTGCAGAGGGAATGGTGCTGGGCTCAGAGGTTGCAGGGCAGGAGCTCCATGTAGAAGCTACTGAAGCAATTCTCACCTCAATGTTTTGTATCTCCACTTGCTCATTTCCCTTGTTTTACCAGTGCCCTCTTTCTGATGAGAGCTTCAATGGCTCTCACTCTTCTGTCATTGGTAGCAATCTTTAGGAAACCCTTCTCCATGTTCAAGGTCAGAACACAGCTCTTGGGTGCTGTGCACGCACCAGTGCTGTTGAGCTTCACCATGCATTATGGGCTGTAAATATCGAGTTTTGGGTTGGGTTACCTTGAGTGCTGGGTAAGGCAGTGCGTGTGACCTGGGTTCTGCTGCAGGCAAATTCACCAGAGTTTATCAGGCAAAGAGCAGTCCGTGTGAGGGATGAGGAGAGCCTTTGGAAGGGAGGCTGGAGCCCTAGGGTGGTCGTTTGACTGCTTCACACTCTTTCTCGTGTCTGTTCTGGAGTTTTAGCGCTGCTGTCACCTGTGCCGCCCATGCAAGAGGCATCCTGGAGTTTGCTGAAGGTGGCCGAGATGCTGTGGGGCTTTTCCCTCCTGCTTACCCACAAGCCTAGCAAACGGGAGCTGATCGTTAACTGGGGGTGAGGAGGAGGGAGGTGAGCATCCCCCAGCCCGCCCGCACCCAGTCTGCCCGGCCCCTGGGGCGGAGCCGGTGGAGCGCGGAGCTCCGAGCTGCTGAGCGCGGTGCTGCGAGGGACGGAACGCGGAGCTCCGAGGGACGGAGTCCCGGCCTCGGAATGAGCTTCCCGCGGCCCCTGCGGCGCTCCGTCAGCCTGAGCCCGGCCCGAACCCTGCGGCTCGTCGTGCTGGGGCAAGGCGCCGTGGGCAAGACAGGTAGGACCGGGGGAAGGGGGTCCCCTGTAGGGACTGGGGCGGGATGGGGAGTGAATTCCTCCAGCATTGCCTCCCCTCGCAGCGTGGGTTTGGTTTTCCTTCCTCCCTGCGCTTTGCTTTGCCGCTCCCTAATTGCGAGGATTTAGGACAGCCCTTCACCCACCCAGGACTGGCAGTTCTCTTTGCAGCGCTCAGGGCTTCTGGAGCACAGTTCCCCCAATCAGCTCTGGGGATGACATTGGGGCTGCTGTGTCCTTGGGGGCAGGGTGACGTTTTCCGCTCTACCAAGGCACAACCTCTAAAACTGTGCAGTGGTGGCACCTCCGCTGGGCTCACTGCCAGCTGTCGGGCTGTCTGAGCTGCGTTTCCATATACAGTAACCGGTCGGCCTCTTGCTTTCCTCTTTCCTCGTGTTATCAATTTTTTTAAATCACGATTTCCTCCTCTTGCCCTGAAGGGAGTAATGCTGAGATCTTGCTTAAAGATCAGGAACTTGCAGCTCCAGAAATCAAAGGGAATATTAAAGTGAAATGCCTAACAAAGGACTCCCCAGGCCTGGTGCTCTCTGCGGGGAAGTAAAAGCACAATTTTCTCACCCACCTCTTCTGCATTCACCTGGATGAGCCCTGCTGGGAGCAGTTCTCTGCTCTCCAGAGCAAGTTTCTTAAAGTTCTGGCCTCATGGGAAGGTGTTGCAGCAGCTCAGGCATTTCCATCCTTGTATCCCAACCCCCTGAGGAGGGCTGAGTTTGGGTACAGGTCTATGGTTGAACCCCATTGGTAGCTCTAAGATTAAAACCAGTATAAATCACCCGTGGGAGTCTGGAAGTGCAGCCCTCCCTTGAGCTATCTGCTGCCTTCTGCTGCTGATCCCAGCCTAAACTTCAGAGGGAAGCTCTGCTTACAGAGTGCCAGCTGAAGATGGTTTGATGCTGTAAAGCTCGTGAGAGGGTGTGCTGTGCAGCAGGACAAATGCTCAGCATGTAGCTGCACAGGGCTGTGGAGGTGACTGGCTGGTCCCTACAACACAGCTTGGTCATGCATCACAGCATCCCCTTAATCACTGATAGAGACCAAATTAACCTTATCTGCACTGGGGCTATCAAAGGAGAGCCCTCTCTGATACTGTTTATGTTTAAGATGGGGGGGAAAATAATGCCTTATATGGCTGCCTGGATGTACTTGCTCCTTGCTACCTTCATCTTGTCTGACAGCTTCTGGGTTCCTGCACCTGAGCCAATTTTTAATTCACTTAATTGGCTCCTCTGCCTGTCCAACACCACGCTCTCCTGCACTGAGTGGTTGCTGAACATAATGACATGGGATATGGTGCTTCCTAGAAATCAGGACTGCCATGCCTCGTTTGAGTCCCCCAACCATTTGGGTCCCACTTGAAGGATGCTGCTGCACACCTCCTGTGGGATCCTTGGTTATCCCAGCAGAAAGCAAATGTCACCTCAGTGTGGGAGCGCACCAGTTCTGCTTGCTGCAAGCTTTACATCAACATCTTGCCTTCAGAAGAGCTTAATGCCATATTCTGGGTTTGGTGTGTTTCATTCTCCCTTTGCTGTCCTCGCTCTTTTTTTTTTCTACTGCTGTGCTGACATCTGGCACGCAGCCTCCTCGTCCTGCCTCTCTTGGGGCTTTTTATTTTTCCTGCCCTCCATTCCTACTTATTTTCCACCGATTTCACTTTCCGCTCCCGTTGCCTCTCTTGCCACCTCTCACTCCTGTCCATAATCATAACCATCATAACCTCCTTGAAGTGCTGAAGCATCACTCACATCAGCCCTGCTCTTTCAGCCTCCAAACCACTTCTCTGCCCACACCAGAAAATATACCAACAGTGTATTTTCAAAGATGCTGCCTACAAAAGGCAATGTTGACTGGTTTGCTTTGTCCACCTGCAGCTGGGGGCACGTGGATTGGATCTGAGCTCTGCCCCATCCAAGCTGCCTTGATGGATAGAGGTGCCAAGGGTGAGGAGAAAGCCCATTCTGTGTTCGGATGACCCTTCAGCATCAGCAGACTTCAGCCAGTCATTTAAGTGTAATTTTGGGCTTCACATCTCCCTGTCTTGCAGGGAGAGCTGGTAATCGGATAAGAGAGGTTTAATTGCGCATGCTGCGTTTGCAGGGCTTGTTTTGCTGCAGCACACTGCTGCTGTATGGAAGACCTTGCTTAGGATTTCACCATGCATCCCTCCCAGTTTGCCATGCTCCACGATGCTCCGACTTGGAAGTTTGGATGAATTTTGCCAGATTTGCTGCCAATGGCTTTTATTCCTCCTTGCAGTGTGCCTGGGTCAGGTTAAACAAACAGGGCTGAGATTCATGAGACCCATCCAGGCAGTCATAGCATCAGCAGAGGTGATATAGAGGGAGAGCCTGGCCTTACAGCTTGCCTACGCATTGAGTTCATGTTCACCCATCATAAAACTCAGCACGTGCATAAATCCCTGCAGGATTCAGGGCCAGAAAAAGCAATTTATCAACCCTGACCATGAACTACATGTACAAGGAGCTGTGTGTTACGGGTTTACGATAACTGGCTTGCTCTCTGCTTCCAGCCACCAAGCAGGATTTGCTTCCCAGCCACACACCCTGAAGGGACGTTTCTGCCAGCAGAGAGGCTCCTGGCAAGGCGAGAGATTGAGTTAGCAGAGTCCCAGGCGTCTGTTGCTGCTTTCCATCCCTGTTCTGCCGAGTTTTGTTCTCATGAAAGGCGTTTACACTGCTGAATGAGCAGGCAGCTTTGGGGTGGTGGAGGTGTTTCGTATGTGGGGCTGAGTAAAGCCCTACTTTCTACCCATAGCATCCCACTGAGCTTTGGTCCTTGATGTGAGTGATTGCAAAGAGCATGCAAAATCCATGTTCCCAGGGCTTGGGTTAATTATATATCGGACTAATTCAGGGGGATACAGGAATGTGAAGCATTGCCAAGGTAGCTGATGCAGTGCTGGGCTTGCATTGTGGCCGCTGTAATATTATCTCCCACTTCCCAGAGGGGCCTCCATCAACCAATATTTCTCTATATTTTGCTTGGATCGTTATAATTGAGTTTATTGCTGTATTTTTTTCTTTTTCTTTCAGCACTGACTGTCAGATTCATCACCAGAAGGTTCATTGGAGACTATGACCCAACATTAGGTAAGCAAAGTCCTTTTCTTTGCTGCTAATGCTTCTCCACTCCCAAACCCACCATATTCCCTTGTTTCACCTCAAGCAGACCAGCAGTTGTCAGAGCCAACAGCCATTATAGCACCTCCCTGTCTCTTGCATTTCTTTTTTTTTTTTTTTTTTTTGTGCAATTGTTTTCATAAGGCAAAACATATTTTTTTTCCCTACAAAAGGAAAATAAGTTTTTCTTCTTTGGACCTTTTCTCTGCCTGCTGCTTATTCCTTCAGTTGAGCTCAATAAGATGTTTGAGGGCTGGAGCACCTCTCCTATTATGAAAGGTTGAGGGAGCGAGGCTTGTTTAGCCACATACTAAAATAAAATAGAAAGCAATCCTGGGGATTCTCACTGCTGTGTTTCTCTGTCTGTCTTCCTCCAGAAATGATTTACAGACACATGGCTGTCATTGATGGGGAGATGGTGCACTTTGAAATCCTCGATACAGCAGGACAGGTGAGCTCACAGAGCTGGCTGGCCTGAGATTATTGAACTTGGCCATCACTGCTCTTTCACCAGCTCTAATCTGTTATGTCTGAAATACCAGCTGAGTTGTTTATCTCAGAAAAAAAAATGTTTTGGAGAGTTTATCCATTGGATTGCCAGTGAATTGCACCAGCCCTGCCTTTCTGTACCCTCTGTGGATATGGCTGACACATCAGAGGCCTGTCTGAGCTGTGCCATCCCTACCTTGAGCACTGAGTGCAGGTTTGGATGCCACAATCTAAGAAGGATACAAAGCTGTTAGCATCCATAGGAGGGCTACAGAGATGGGTAAGGGTCTGGAGGACAAGAAGCTGAGGTTGTTTGGTTTGTTGGGCCCAGGTTACAGGATGCTGAGGGGGCACCTAATGGTGAGACAGTGGTCACAGCCCTAACGTGCTGGAGCTTAAGGAGTGTTTGGACACTGCTCTCAGACCTAGGGTTTGAGTGGTCCTGTGTGGAGCCAGGAGTTGGACTTTATGGTCCTTCCCTTCCAATTTAGGATATTCTATGACTCTGTGGTGTTCCAGAAACATTCAGATGTAGTACTAAGGGACATGGATTAGTGGGGAAATGTTAGTAGCAAGTGGACGGTTGGACTGGATGATTTTGGAGGTGTTTTCCAACCTTGTTGAGTCTATGATTCTATGGCTCTGTGGTTCTATTGCAGTCTGTATCCATCACTTCTCTCAACCCAGCAGACTCCTCTCCTGGGCTTGCTTGCTAGTCAATGCTATGTGAGAGCCCAGGTCAAAAGATCCTCAGAAATAATGGCAGTGGGTCCCCATGAGAGGTTTTATGGGTTGCAGTGTGTGTATTTAGAAGATGTTGGGGCTTCTCATACTAACGGCAACTTCTCTGCCCTATCAGGAGGAAGACTCCCTGCAGATAGAGGAGAAGATCAAGTGGGGCGATGGCTTTGCAGTGGTCTACTCGGTGACAGACAGGTGCAGCTTTGATGAGGTGATGCGGTTGTGTTTCCTCATCAACCACATCCACTCCAGCCCTAAGCGGAGCGGCGGGAGCGAGCAGCCACCTGTGGTCATCGTGGCCAACAAGAAGGACTTGCAGTTTGACAGAATGGTGTCCACACAAGATGGCGAAAACCTTTCCAAAGCTTTAAAGCTTCCTTTCTATGAGATTTCCACTCGGGACAGCTATGAGGAGACCGTGGCAGTGTTCAATACTCTCTACCAAGAGCTCATGAGGCAGGGACATTTTTCCCCAGGCTCCTTCAAGAGGAGGACAGTGTCGAAAGTGATGGAGAAGATCCCCAAGATGCAAGCCAGCTCCACCTTGAACTCAGCAGGCCGGAGTCTCAGCTTTAACTCTTTTAGGGACTACATCCCTGAGTGAGCATCCCTGGTGCAGAGAAACATGACTGAGGGATGGGTCCTCCTACTGCTGAGGCACCTGTTATGTAGTGAGGAGCTGCTTTACTTGGGGTTGAAGAGTAGCGTGTAGAGCAGGAGGGGAATGTTAAGATGTGGCATTAGTGTTCAGCAGCCTCTGAAAGCCTGGTCGCTACAAACAGGCTTTGGGTCTGCAGGAAGGATGCTCTTCCTCTGTCCCACCCATCCTCCTCCTGCTTGAAGTCAGCAACAAAGGAGAGCTTGCTGGGTCTGTCCCTGTCCCTTCTTCATGCTTCTGGGCTGGCAGTGAGGGCATGTTTTAAAGCAGAGATTTGTTTACAGTAAGGATAAAAAGTCTGCTAATCCCTGGCTTTTCTCAAAAGCTATATTTTTTTAACATCTGAAGCTCCTTGGCATTCTCTCCTGTAACATCAATGTAAATAAAAGCCTGGGCAAAGGGCTGTTTGCTGAGGCTGCCCCTTGTTTGTCATCTCCAGGGCTGCTAGCCTTTAAAGGGAAGCAAATTGGATGGCATCACTGCTGTGCCCTGCAACCTTAGGCTAAGGTCACACTGCTCCATCCTGGGGTAATGTCATTCCTGATGCATGCCCTTGCCCTGGAACTCCTCTCAGTGTGTGTCTTGGAGACTCCCAGAGTGCAAGCAGTGAGTTTGGATACAGAGGAGTGGATACTGGGAAGTGCAAATGATTCTTAGTCCCTTATCTGCATTTTAACTGCAGCTGCAACCCTGTAGGTGGATAAGTTGGTGGGATTTTTTTGCTCAGATTGGCTTTGTTATGGGGCAGCAAAGGCAAGGAAAGGAGCCAGGCTTGCATCTTTTTGCTGCTGCACCCTCAGTGCCATTGAGTGTCCTCTTGCTAAGCTGCTTCTGTGCAATTTCTCTCACATGCAGAACTCTGCTTTGCCACCCCTGGTGAGTTTTTTGGAAGATGTGTGGTGTGCCACTTGTGTGTCTTCTGAGAAACAACTGTGTGCCACTGTGCCCTGTGCCAATAAAAGTCGAGTTAGCACCTGTGTGTGATGGTCTCTTGCCTGGATGTTCCCATGGGAGCAGAGAAGAGATTGTTGTACCATGCTAAAACAGATACGTCACTTTTAGGGAGAGCATGGGTGGGGAATAAGCCTTTAAATTGGGGGTTGGTGTCTCCTGTTGCATCCACCCCATCCCTTTGTGTGTGCTCCCCCTTTGATGGTGCAAAAAGGAATAAGCTGGCAGAGATGCACACCCAGGATTCACAGCCTGAGGATATAACTCATGCTCCATCCCTTTCCTGCCCACATGGACACCCATGACCCCTTGTAGTCCCAAAGGCGCTTCCTGTGGTTGCTGGTGCCTAACCAAGAACTTTCTTGTCTGTGGTTTAACTCAGCTCTGCCTTCCTCCGTGCTTCCGCCACATATCTATCCCATGGGGTGAGGAGAAACCCTATCGAGGGTCTGAAACAAGAACAGCTTGGGATTGCTCCTTCACAACATCTGAATTATCTCCAAAGCAGCAGCAGTGGGAAACACCTCTGGGAGCTGTTTGTGGCCAGAGACCTGCCTACCTCGAGAGCAAAATTTGGGGATTAACGCCTTAGGGGAAGCTGGCTATGGGGAAGCAAGAACTGGGATTTTTTCTCAATCACTGACACCAAGCAATGGGGTCTGCACCCAAACCCAGCCAGGATGCTGAGCACATGCTTGAGTCTTGCTCCGTGCCAGTGTGCAAAGCCAGGCGTAGCATAAATCCACATTTTTCAGTATGAATTACTCAAAATAAGGAACAGGAGAGGGGCAGCTTGTGGAAAGCAGGGACCAGCATGCATGTGCTTCCTCTGGGAGCAGAGCACAGCAGGGATCGCTGTCCCGAGCTGACCCCAGTGCATCACTACGTTGCCAGGAATCCAAGCAGAGTGTTTGGCCAAAGCCTTAGTGCACTCACTGCTTGCAAGTCAGCCTCTTTGTGAAGGCCAAGAGGCTGTTTGGCCTGCTATAATTAGCAAGAAACCTCATTGATTCAACTGCTCTCAGAGAGGCCAGTGGGGGCTTGTTAGGGCTAATTGCTGGAAGCCTTGAGGGGCTCCTCATAAGCACCCAGTGAGCTCCTGCTGAAGATTCTGGTTGGTCTTGGAGGAGTTTCCCCCTTTGGGTGCAGTGTTGGGAGGGTGGCCCTTGGGGTGGTCTCCTCCATGGAACCTGAGGATTGAAGATGTTCTTGGGAAGGTTTCAGTAGGGCAGCCCTATAGATCCGAAATCCATTTGCGAAGGCTTGGGCAATGGGAGGAAGAAGAAGGTCTCTGCTTTCCTTGGAGCATGTTCTCAAACTCTGGAGGCTCAGGGAAGAAGGCTTCAAGCCATGTTAGTGGCAGACTTTAGGGCTGTTTAATAACACAAGGGGGAAAACGGGGATGAATGGAGCTGGGGTGTCCCCATGCAGATGTTCTGGACAAATGATCCCATGCTTTCCTGATCTGCTGGAAAATGTCAGCTTTCTGGGGACAAGTGCACCTAGGGCCTGTCAGTCCTTCCAGCCTGATGTCAGGGCTGGGATGGAAACCTGATGGCTGGGCCTCACAGCCAGAAGCTGAAGAGTTTGGGTCTAATCACCCAAAAGGCATCTCCAGGGCAGCAATTCAACTTTGTGAGTGCATAGGCTGCAAATCTGCTTACCAGATTTCTGGGAAGCTTAGAAGAGATGAATTAAATGAAAGCGTTCTTTCTAAATACTCCTTTCCCTCCCATTCACCAAAAGCATCTCCCAGGCTGCCTTGCAGTGCTCCCTTTGCACTTCCTGAGATGCCTCCTGAAAAAGCAAGATGCAATGATTGGTATGTCTTATTTAATTACCCTACATTGCACTTGGGTTGAGTGAGGTGGGTTTCTTCATCCCTACCCTGGATCCTTATGGTACCTGCTCCTCTGATTGTGCTCCTTGTCTGAGGAGCTGTGGTTAGAAAGATGAAGCTGTGCTTACATGGGTATGGAAAGGCTGGTTTCTACAGGGGGTCCCATGGTGGAGAAGCTGCTTTCTTTTTTTTTGCTGCTCACTCTTCGTCATCAACCTTGTGCTAAATAAATGAAATAAACAGAAAGCTTGGATTTATTCTTTCGAGGTCTTTGAGAAGTGTATCTATGGCTTTACTTGGAGAAGAATTTTGTTGCACTGCTGCATCTCCAAACTGCATCCCAGAGATAATGGGGAGCGTGAAGCTGGTGGTGGGTCCTTCCGGCACCTGGAATAAATGCAGCATCTCTAAAGGATTGCTTTGATTTCTGCTCAGAGCAGACAGAGCTGCATGGGACTGGGATTTTCCAAGTTTCCAGACTTTATGAGATTCAGTTTGGGGGTTTTGGGTGCTGTATTTTGGGGTGCAGGAGGTTGAGTGCCACATAGGGATGGTTTCTCTCCAATGCAAAAAATGCAAAGGGGTTAAAATAAATAAATTAAAAATAAAAGTGAGACAATAGTCCAGAGCAGTTGTTTCCAAATGCTGCTGCTATTTATATGCCCACATCCTCCATGTGGGTCCTGCTGCTTGTTTTATTGCCATTATAAATAGCTGCTGTGTTGCTGGGGAGTTCAGGGAAACTCAGGACTGCTTTCCAGGGGGGAAATCTGGGTCTGAGGCTTGGGGTTTTCAGCCACCAGATGAATTATTTCACTCTTTGCTTCCTTCACTTCTTAATTCTCTTTAAACTGTTTATCAGCTCTGCTAACTTTCTCCAAAGGCACGGAGATGCTCAGTGCAGCTGAAGGCTTTTGCTGTCACTACAAGGAAAGTCTGGGAACTGCAAGGGGAAGGGAAGCAAAGGGAAAAACCTATGTAGAGCATCAGGTTGCATCTGCCTGTGTCTGACTTTTGGGGCATTCTGGCCAGGTTAGGATACAGCAAATGATATGTACTGAGCTGAGGGCAGGAGAATGAGTAGAGCTGAACAGTCCAGCTTTGGGCATCTTCCTTGTGCTAATACCTATGCATTCTGTATAATTTTTCTGGGGGGTTAAAAAAAGCAGAGTTTGGGTTGTAGGCACTCTGGCAGTGGGGGATGTGTTCCCCCTGCTAGGGAACATCAGGGAGAGAAGCCAAGTTCTGGAGACACTCTGCTACTCCCATCGTTCTTTTGTTCTTGGCAAGTCCCAAATTCTCTCTCTATATATTTTTAAAGAAAAACAATAAAAATAATAACCCAGCATTGCTAGTGTGGACTGGGCATGCTGCTGGGAAGCTGTGGCTGTCATCACTTGGAGCTTTGGGGCTGTGTGAAAATATTGATGCTAAGGGCTGGTCCTGGGCCCTATGGGCAGAGTCCCGCAGTTCCCCATTATCTCTTGTTTTTCCAGCCAGGAGCATAACAACAGGGTTTTTAAAAAGGATGCTGTATGCAATTTATGGGCATCAGCTGTGTTCCCAAGCTCCAAGGGTTTGCAAAGCAAATCCCTCAAGGCCCCTGTCAACCAGAGCCTTGGAAAGTCCCAAAGGAAAAGAGAAAATGGGTGGTTTTGCAATGTTTTGGTGTCTTCTTACTATTGCCACATACTGTTGCATGCCTTTGAGTCTGTGCAAGTTTGGTGGCAAGCAATGGGATGAGCAGGGCATGGCTTCATGTGCTCGGCCCCACTGCCAGACCCCCCGAGGAAGTGCAAACCCCTTTTTAAATCTGTGAACGTGGGGAAAAGTGGCTCCGTTTTGGGGAGGAGACTGGAAGCCGTGTAAAATCATGCAGGAGGGTGGGTTGGCTGGATGGAAACCAGGTGAACTGCCCCAAAATGTTTTTGCTTTTTTTTTTTTTCTCATGCAAAAAGTCAAGGATAAGTGATTTTTCTTGGCCATGTGAGAAAAATGCTTGGGATGGGCTAAGAAAGGAAAACACAGAAGTGGGGCTTTGAGCTGTCTGCGGGATCTGGAGTGCACTGAAGTTTGGAATAGGATCACTGAATTGCTTAGGTTGGAAGGGATCTTGAGGATAACCCAGTGCTACCCCTCCTGTTGTGGACTGATTGCCATCCACCAGATCATGCTGTCCAGGATCTCATCCAACCTGGCCTTGGGCATGTCTGGGGATGGGGCATCCACAGCCTAGAATGGATGGGAAAACTTCCCAAAATCATCGCTTCTACCCCAAGGATGCTGATGGGAGAGTGGGGAGAGGGTTCAGCCCAAGCCTCTGTGGGTAGGATGCTTGGGGTTGTGGATTCCCAAATTTGGCAAAACATTCTCTAGCAGGGTGGTGTGGAGGGAAAGCTGCTTTTTAAGAAAAGTTTTTAAAAATAAACTCAACCACCAGCATTTTGCTGGGGTGCAGCTGTTGAGCATTGCTACCACTGTGCTAGCAGCATCCCCTAGGTTTGCTGTTCACAATTCCTCTAATCCACCCTTGGAGCCATTTGCTGTCCTGTGGCTGCTGGGATTTAACAGTGTGCCATGTGAGAGAGCTTTTCCCCAAGCTCATCTTGCTGCCAAAAATTTCATCAGACCCCCTCCCAGCCCTGTGTGTGCCAAGAAACCAGAAATCGTTGATGCTACGCTGCTTTTCTGAAATTTTGCAGCATTGTGCCTCTATCCTCTGGGCTGAATTATGTGGTGGGTTGATTTTTTTCTCTGCTTTTCCCTTTATTTTAACCAGCTCTCAGCCCACAACTTTGATGGATTATTTTTTTCCCTCCTGGTTCTCTCCAGCTCCTCCCAGAAATCCCAGTGAGCTCCAGCTGGGAGAACTGTGCCCTCCTCTCTCAGCACTTGATACCCATCTTGATTACTTTGCCATCCTCCTCTTCATCGTGGATCCAACCCTTTCTTCATGCTTAGGAGCCCAAGTCAGCAGCTGGGAGATGCTTCTCCTCATACAATCAACACACTTTCCCACCTCCCATGTTGGGTATTGCCCATAGTGGAAAGAAAAATTAATTCTGGAGCCATGCATTGGGGAAAAACCCATCAAGCATTTTTTAGGTGACAATGAAAGATTTTCATGAGGATTTGACCATTCTGAGAACCTCCTGAAGAGCAGAATTTCCTGGGGTGAGTAATGCTGTTGTCTTTTGGTCAAGGCATTGGGGTTGTTGGTTTATTTCTTAGAATCATAGGATCATTGGGAAGTTGGGAAAGGCATTCAGTCCAACCATCAATCCACCACCACCATGCCCACTAAACCATGTTGCTCTGTGCCACAACTGCCTTTTTCTCTTTTCTTTATGCAAAATGGGGAAACTCTTTGAAATCTTTATTTTTCAGCTGGGCAATATTGTTTGTAAACCCCCGTTATTCCCTATTTGCCCATAGGTTGTTGGGACTGATGGGATGAGTGTATGGGGTGTGGGATGAGTGC